ATGAGCATGTGTGTGCATGTGCATGCATGTGAGCATGTGTGTGTGAATGCATACACACGTGAGTATGCATGTGGTGTGTATGTGTATGCATGTGAGCGTGTGTACGGTGTGCATGTGGAGGCAGTAGGACCACCCTGCTTGTCATCATCAGAAACACTGTCCACCTCCTTTGATACAGGTTCTTTCACGGGCATGGAGCTGGATAACTGGGTTAGGCTTGCTGGCTCCAGAGTCTCCCAGATGTGCTTAGGTCTTCCTCTCCAGCTCTGAGGTCACAGGTGTGCACCACACCCCTGCCTTTCTTCACCTGTGTTCTGGGGATGGAACCCATATCCTCAGGCTCACGAGGCAAGCTCTTTATTGACAGAGCCATCTCTCCAGATTCCATGGTTTATATTCATTGAGTTGCTTGTCCCTGGCAGATCAGGAGCCCTAGCCCAGGCACAGGATCCCGGAGTGTGGGAGGGCGCTCTTCCAACCCCAGCTCTGCTCTTGGGCACTGGCTATCACTGTACCTTCCTTCTGGGCTTGGCAGGAGTGGGAGGAGAGGAGGCAAGGCATTCCAGAGGAGGGTGGTACATGGCCTTGGGCCCTTTCTCCTTGGCTGAGGCCGGGCTGGGTAAACACAGGGGAGAAACTGCTCTCAAGGCAGGGTGTACATTTTTGGGTTCACGCCACACACACCCTCGGTAGATGGTGCCTCATTTCGGGTCTGTGCCAGAGAGTGAGTTTATCACTCCCCCTCTGTGTGAGCCAGATAAGCATTCCTTCCTGGGCTCCTGCCAGTTACTGCTGGAGCTGCCAGAAGGTCTTGAACACTTTGCTGAAAGGGGCTGCCCCCCCCCACCCCGACTCCCTATTAGTAGCCAGCTGGCTCCTGCATTGCTTAGCTGGACTATCACTTCCCACCCTGCCAGGAAAGGACCCCGCTTGGGTCTGGTAGAGACCTACTACTCTCTGTCCAATGTCGTGAATATATCTAGCCTCTTTTCTCCCCAGGAATTGTCATAGGTCCTAGAAAAGAAAGACATATTTATGATGTCTACAGCACCCTTATTTGTAGCCCAGCATCCTGATCAGAGCGCCTGTGTTGCCTCAAATGACATCAAAATGTGAAAAGTGCAGACGGGCAGGTAGGGTCTTTAAAGTGATGATTCGGGTTAAATGAGGTCATCGGTGTAGACCCGTGCCCTTAGAAGAAGAGAGTAGGAACTGGAGAGATAGCTTAGGTAGTCAAGTCTTCACATGCAGACTGGGGTTGATCCCCAGGACTTATATTAAAAAGGAAATCAGGCGTTGAACTATCGGTATAAACTGGCCAATCTATGGGTTTCTCTGACCAGCCAACCTAGGCTACTTGGTGGGTTCCAGGTCAACGAGAGACCTTTTCTCAATAACAGCAAAAAAAGTAGGTGGCACCTATAGAATGACACCTGAGATTTCCTTTGTCCTGTGCATGCATACACATGCATGAACCCCTGCATGTACACATGTGCACATACACTCACGCTCATGGGAGGTGGGGGGAGGAGATAGAAAATAGAACCATGGGGGATGGGGTGGGGCAGATGAACTCATCAGAAAACCGAGGAGACCACTCTAGAGAAGCTGACCCTATGGACATCTTGATGATGGGTGTCGCCCTTCCAGAACCACAAGATAAACAATTTCCGTGTGTAAGCCACCCAGCCTGTGGCTCGTCGTTATGACAGTTCTGGCCAAAAACACTCTGAATGTTCAGTAAACTTACTGGAGTCTAGTATAAGACCTGGCACACGGATCGTGGGTGGCTCCATCTCTGGGAAGTTGATCGTGTCCACAGTCATCCCGAACGTGGACTTTTTATTTTTTTAGTTATCCGGGGGTGGTAGGTAAGTGGGTGCCCACCTTCCCTTCCTGAGAGGGTGCTTGGAGTTTTTCCTGCTTGGGCAGCTCCTTTCCTGATTATGATCATTACTATCACCTATTAACTCTTTACCTGCCTATGATGGAGGTAGTTATCGTGATAAGCTTAATTGAGGTGTTGGGACACACCACTGCCATCACTCCTTGGACTGGGAAATGTGAGCGAGTTCAGGCCTTTATAGCTCTCTACTTCTTGACTGTGGACACACTGTGGCCAGCTGCTTGGTCAAGCTCCTGTCACCATGTCTCCCCCATCATAATGGGCTATAACCTCAAGTTGTGATCCCAGATGAAGCCTTTCCCCTTTAAGGGGCACCTGTCAGGTATTTTATCATACACCATGTAAAGTAACAAAGACACTGATAACTCATTAGTCTGTGTCCCTATGTGTGACTGATGGCGGTGGTAGGGATTACTTAATTATGGGACAGTTGAGAGAGTTGAACGATTGACAAGAAGGCTATTCTCAGAGCAGACGTCCCTGTGTTATGTGGCAAATATTAAACCATAGAGACCATGAGGATCCAGCTCAGTTTATAGAACTGAACCTAAAGGACTCTTTGGTGGCGCCCTCTGGAGAAAGCATGATTACCTTAACACGGGCCTACAATGTCCAGCCTTGATCCAGGGTGACTCCTTCCTCTGGGATTAGTGCTCATATCTTGTTCCAGCTTGAGTCCGGGGAGCTACAGGCTAGGATGAAATTTGGGGTGAGGGAGGACTGGGACTTTGTGCATGGATGACTCTGCTCCTGGGCCACTGAGGTTGTTTCTGTTTGTCACTCCTAAGTAGCTCAACTGAGCATTAGAGGGTCAGAATATGTCCCTGGTTCCTTGGCACTGACATACACAATAGAATGGACGAGCTGAGGGTTAAGATGCTCTCCTGGGGACCCCAGGAGACACCTCCTGTCCCATCTCCCACATTGAACAGGGAGGCAATTCTAGGCTTGCTGGAAGGCTGAGAGGTTGAGTCAGACGGGTCTGGCTGTGACTTGGTCACTCATTAACTGTGTTATTCATAGCAGGTGACTTCATGACTCTGAGCTACCATGTCCCCATCTGAAGAAGAGGGTCGATAGTACCTGTTTCACAGTATGGATCTTTTTATTAGCTGAAATAAATAGACACAGCCTTTAGGACATCGCAAAGTTCTTTAAAATAATAACTGCCTGGGCTGGAGAGATGGCTCAGCAGTGGTTGCCCTTCCAGAGGCCCTGAGTTCAAATCCTAGTACCCATTTGCAGCCAACAACATCTCTAACTCCAGGTCCAGGGTACTGAATACCCTCTTCTGGCTTCTGCGGGCACTGCACTCATATGGTGTACAGACAGGCAAAACACACAGACACATTAGCTAAAAGTAAATGAATCTAAAAAAGAGCAGCACTGTCATTTTGCCCATCTCGGCTCTACTTCACGGAAGCAGTGTACGAGCCCCTTCCCCCAGAGCATCAAATCTAAACTGTCCTCATTTGCACTTGGTCAAAAACTGACGCGTGTCTATTCCAGAGAGTATCAACGAAGACATGGAGTGCTGGTCACTGGGTGCTTATACAGTTCACACAGAATCACGCCTTTGTCCCCTAAGTCTGGGAACTGAAGACCTCAGGCAGTTGAGTCACGCAGGGTTATGCCAGGACACAAGGTCATATTAGACACAGACCCCCTTCCCCCGCCTGGTGCTCCTCTTTCCCCGTTGTGTAAAGTACTGAACCCGGGGATGTGAGCACTGTGGGTCTCCTCGTACCATGACAGCACTGAATTACTCGGAGGACACCTAGGATGTCAGTGCAGAAGGGACCTGGCTCATTTCTCAATCACACTGGAGGTAAAGGGAGCGCCACAGGCTGGGCAGTGAGCAGAGAGGGGCTGGGAAGCTCTGCAGACATCCTCTGGAGTCCTTTATGAGAGAGGACATGGAAACAAAGAAATAAGAGTTCACCTCACCTGCAGCCAGGTCCCAAGACGCCAGCTGAGCACAGACAACACTCACAGAGTATAGCAGATAGGCTGGAACTCTCCATCTCTGTGTTAGGACAGAGGTGGGGGCTGTGGAGGCCCCAACTCTCATGAAGCCATCCCCTCCTCTGACTATAGGCCTGTGTGATGGGTGCTCCTGTGTCAACCTCAGCTCAAGACTTGGGGGTGTAGCTCAGTGGTAAAGGGTTGTCCAGCAAGCCTGCTGCCCTGGATTCTGTCCTTCAGACTGCAAGCCTCGGTTCAGTCTCCTTTTCATCTTCCCACCTCACCTATGAGGTCACGCTTGACTTGGTGTAATAATTAGTCAGGGATGATTGCCTGGCCTCAGATTTGCCTTTTCTTTTGATGGAATCTAGCCCAGAATTTCTCTGCTTACTAGGCCTTCCGTAGACTCATCAACACAAGCCCAGTTCTCCTAAGCAGCCTCAACCCCTCCCCCTTTCTTGCTGCAGTAAGCCAAAGAAACCTCCCTTGGTTGCTTTACTCGTCATCCAATAAAAGCAACACATATAAAGAAGGACATCCCACATCGCTTGGTATCAATTGCATTCCAAAGGCCTTAGTTCTTGTGATAGTTAAGATTGTCAGTTTGACAGGACCTAAAATCACCTAGACACACCTCTGGGCGTGACTGTAAGGGAGTTTTAGACTAGGTTAACTGAGGTAGAAATACCTATCCTAAATGTGGGCAGCACCATCCCACAGCCTTGGGTCCCAGACTGAATAAAAAGAAAGAAATCAAGCCGGCCACCAGCATTCGTCTCTCTCTCCTCCCTGACTGTGTATCCATTGTCACCAGCTGCCCTGTGCTCCTGCTACCATGTTGTCCCTGACACACGGGCTGTAAAAGTGTGAGCCAAAACAAACCCTTCTCTCCTTAAGTTCATTTTGTCATGTGTTTTTGTCACAGCAGTGACAGAAGTAACTAATACAGCGGGCAAGCATCGACGTCTGCAAACTGGGGTGTTTGTGCCTGTCTAGAACTGTTTACAGGGTTACGGGAAGAACTTGTATGGCTAATACAAGTGGGCGTGCATGTTGTGTGTGATGTAACATTGTTATTGGTCAGTAAGCTAGTACCGTGTGAAATTTTCCCATGATTCTCTTTTTCCAGTCAGGGATTTTTAAGATGGAAGATTTCTACATGATCCTGGTTTAGTTTCATGGGAACTCCTCTCGTGACTTAGTGCTTGGAATAGCAACGAACAAGAATACTTCTGATCTGCCCAAAGCTGGAGCTTGCTGAAGGAAGAGCTGAATGTTTGTATGAGCGCCCAGTGAGATGGCAAAACTGGTGAGCACAGGGCCCCGCCCTTGCCCTTCCCTGCTGTTATCATTGCTCTCCAGAAGACAGTGGCCAGGGTTTCCACCAGGCTGGGAGATAACGCTCCTGAGGAGTCAGCTAGCAAGCTGCCGGCACGCACCATCTTCTCAAATGTCAGTCTGCATGTGGGCAACACAGCCTCCAGGGTCAGGGTCAAGCTTTTGAGGGTGGGCTTAGAGGCCCTTGCTTCTGCTCACTTCTCTTCTGTGTCTTACTTTGGACCATACCTAAGTCTCATTCTCAATTCCATTTGCCTTTCCCCGCAACCTTTGAAGTCCATACGTTTTTCTTGGAACATTCTTCTATTTCTCTTACCTTGAGACTTGAATCAGGGGCTGGAGAGATGCCTCTATGGTTAAGAGCACTGGCTGCTCTGGGGGAGGACCTGGGTTCAGTTCCCAGTACCCACGTGACACCTCATGGCTGTCTATATCTCTAGTTCCAGGGAGTTTGATGCCATCTTCTGGCATTCTTGGGTACTGCATAGAAGATACTGTGCAGACATACAGGCAGGCAAATACTCCAAACGTGTTAAAAACAAATACAAACCCCCCACAAATCAAGTACTTCTCCTCTGAAATGCCCTTTGACTGACCATTCTCTCCTCAGAACTCTCAGCACCACATAAGTTTGTACACTTACTACACTGCATTGAAGGGGTCACACACACTCCTCTGCGGGGCTAGGCTCTGTGAGACTGAGACTTTGTGGGAAGGAAATGGTGATTTTTGTACTGACCTCGGGGCTTGGAACACAGTAGGTGGTTAATAAACTCTGCCATTTGATGCTGTTGATCTTATGTTTCAATATAAATTAATAGATTTTTTTTTCTTTCATTATGTTGGCTCCTCTTAGAACTAGGGAGTTGGAACCTCTGACATCAGAAAGCTGTGCATAATTATGGGCAGGGCAGACCTTCTCGTCTGAGCACTCACAGGCCCTGCCCAGATGTGCTAATGCCCAGCTCATGGGAAAAGAATGTCCTCGAGCAAAATTTCAGGGGTGGCAAGGAGCGGCTCAGAGCTGTTGTAACGACTGTTTCTCTACCCATCGCCAGTGGGTCTCAGCCTGGATGCTTCTCCTCAAGAAATACTTTCTTTTCAGCTTGCAGATGTTTTATTTTAGAAGAACACATTTTTTTGTGAATACCTTGGGCCCACCAACATTCTTTCATGGAGGCAGGGAGGAGCTCCCAAGGCCCACCATTTTGAGAGTTTATATGCAGCTGGTGATTTCTGGGTGAAGGAGTGACATTTTCTTTAGTGTTATAGCCTCTGGCAAATGACCATGGTCCTGTAAATGACTTCTCACTCATGCTGGTATAAGCAACCCAATGAAACTCATTGTAGAGAGCACACACACACACACACACACACACACACACACACACATACACACACACGCCGAATGAGGACTAGTTGGGAAGATGAGGGGGATCATCAGGGATGAGAGAAAGATAAGAAATGGGAAAATGTAATGGTGGTGAAATATGATCAAAATATGTCCATGCATATAATGTCCCAAAGAAGCCCGTTATAGATAAAAATAAATTATGTAACAGCTACTGGCAAGGGAGGTCAGTGGACAGAATTAATACATACTGATTCCCAGCTTTTTAGTCTGGAATTAGAGATGAAACCAGGTTCGCCTTGGGGGTTCATCTTGGAAGACGGGGGACAGAAGCAGGTGGTGGTTCCTCTATTGACTGTTTGGAGTTTTCTAATGGGTCTCCGTGGCCTTCACTTGCAATAGATAGTTTTTAACTGTCAACTCAACACAATTTAAAATCACCAGGAAAGGTAATCTTGATTGGGAAATTGTCTAGATCAGGTTGGCCTGTGGGTGTGTCTGTGGAGATTGCTTGATTGTTAATTGATGGGGGAAGACCCAGTCCACTGTGAGCACCATTTCTTAGGGAGGGGCCCTGGACTGTATAAGAATAGAGAAAGCAGCTCTTGGCGGATGGGTATCACGTGATTAGCTGCCTTGAGCACCACCCCACCCCTCAACATGGCATTGCTGTTCTAATGGACTGTAACTTTGAATTACAAGCTGAATAAACATCTCTCTTGTCTATGTTGCTTTTTGTCAGGATGTTTGATCACAGCAACAGAAATGAACCAGGACGGCATCCTAGCGGCATAGCCCTCAGAAAGTCTTCAAAATGCCAAGCTCCAGCTGCACCCCAGGCCCGCTGAGCTCACAGCTCACAGATGACCAGGAATCTCGATTTATTGCTTTATTTTAAAAGAAGCTTCTCTTTTAAAAAATTATTTATTTTGTGTATGTGCACGTGTGTGCGTGCGTGCACCCGACACGTGAATTGAAGTGCCCAAGGAAGCCAGAAGAAGGTGTCAGTCTCATAGAGCTGGAGTTACAGGCAGTTGTAAGTCATACAGTGTGGGCGCTGGGAACTGAACTCGGTTCTTTGAGGGAGCAGCCAGTGCTCCGAGTCTCTGTCCTGCCCCGTCTCTCCAATCCCCAGGAATCTTACTTAACAAATCCTCCAGGTGTTTCCAGAGTTCCACTGCTCTGGTCGAACCCTTCCTTCCACTGTAGTGAAGCTGACATACTTTTAAATCATTCAGATCATTAAAGTAACTATACTATGTTTTACATAAAATTTGGAAGAGTTAAAAATTCAGATATAAACTCAATGGAAGTAGAGCCATTTCTGTGTATTTTTCTTCCAATATGTTCTTCCCTTTCAACACTTCTAATAAATAGTTTCACACAGTTGTAATTACAGGACAAATCCAGCTAAGCACATTGCCCTTTTCTCACCTACTGTTGGAACGTTAATACGATTTGCGCTGTCACGGACACGTTTTCCTAAACCCTTAACCACACCCTACTGGGTAGCAGAGTGTGGATCCCAAAAGTGAGCTAATACGTGTGGATGTGAAGATAAGAGTGTAGAGGTGAAAATGTGTGCAAGGAGACCACCCCTTCCTTGCTTTGAGTCTCTTCGCCATCCCCTCGCCCCAGCCCCAATCCCACTGGAAGAAGTAAAAACTGTGAGTGTTTCTGGAAGTAGAATTATAAACAGAATAGTAGATAACAAATAGCTTTGCCTTTTCAAAAGCCAAGGAGACGTCACTGCGCTCCCTAGTGGCAATGACTGAGAACTGCACTTTCTTTGGAGCAACCCAGCAGGCTCTCTAGGATGCTTGTCAGCATATCAATATTTTGATCTTGGTCCCCAGACCTGTGCCTGTGAACCCCAACACTGCCCAAGTTACTGTGACTCCTTTGCATCATGCAGGATTGGATCTCCCACTGCGGTTGAAGTCCAGCTATGGTGCCTGTGGCCTCTTGACAGGGATCTGGGTGTCCTGCCCACCTCTAGCTAACCCCATTCCCTGGCAGGCTGGACCCCAGTTCTCTACTGAGAAGGCTCCACTCTAAAACGAACACTCTCCTTGGAACCAGTGGCCAGCCATCTTTATGGCAGTGAGAATGGCTGACTCCTTTGCCCTGTGTAGACTCCGTCAGTATGGTGTCAGAAATATAATCTTGGAGAATGTATTTGGGACTGCTCTGCTCTGTCTGTAAACCAGGCCTAAATCAGGGCAGCCTGTCTTCCTGCTGAGTCGCCTGTGAGTACGCGGCATGGCAGCTGGTGTGTTAAATAGGGCAGAGGGAGGGGAAGACCATAGTGGGAATCTAGATACCCAATTTTGGCTTTTGGCTGAGCGCTCTCTGGGTGATTTGTGTTTTTAGGTCAGTTTGCAGGCCCAAGGCCTTCAGCGGCGCTGCAGTTGTTCCCTGTGCAGTGCTAGGTCCCATTGGGAGGCAGGCAGGGTGAAAGTCACATGTCTGTCCTTTGGTCCGTGGCTTGTCCTATCTAGGTGACACCCACCAGGAGGGTTCTGGACCCACTGGGCTGCAGGGCCAGGGTGTTTGGTGGTGGGTCTCTTGAAGAGGAAGGGGGATTTCTGCAGAATGCTGGGAGCTGGTCCCCAGCTGCTGTGCCACCCTGGGTGTGTTCATCTGGGGTACACATTGCATCTCTGCCTCCCTCCGCTAACAGTGGTTATAAGGGAGAATAACAGTGGTTATAAGGGAGAAATTAGAGGTTCCTCGTGGGCAGTAATCTGAGGCTGACTGGGCCTGCAAAGGTGAGCGGAGGTAACAGGTCTGAACTGTCAGTGCAAGAGCCCTCTTGTCTAGTGGCCCTGTTGTCAGGACAAACCCAAGATTGATCTATCTCCTTCCCAGTTGGAGATCAACCTCAATCATATGCTAGATGGCCACTGAGATCCCTCCCAGTCTAAACTAATTGTAGGTAATCAGGCCAGCCTCCCTCCCTCCCTACCTCCCTTCCGTCCCTCCCTCCCTTCCTTCATTTATTCTTATGCATTAAAATCTCACTCCCGCCCCAAAGAGCATACCATGTCTTTGAAACTCAGTATACTTTCAAACAAACTTCCAAACTCTAGTAAGAAACATAAATAGACTTTCCATAGAATGATTCAATATGTTAGATATTCCATCCTATTTTCTGCCCTGCTATTTCATGTCAAATTTCCTTACACTTATTTCAAAAGAAGCAAGATAAATTGCTTTTGAACTTTCTTTTTTTGAGGTTATAGGTCCCTTTTACAATTTACCAAGAGACAACCTTTACCAATAGGCAAAGAACCTCCATCCCCTGCTCAAACCCCAACCTACACACAGCCTTGTTATCTCAGGCGGGGTTGGGATTCTGAAACTCACCACCTGGGCTGGATAAAAATCACAAGTATTGAGCTATGAGCATCTCAGGGTCTATAATAAGCGATTTATTCCATAATTCCATCCTTACTAACCCCCAAACTTCCTACAACTTTTGATAGTAGGCATTTAAATTTAATGGTGGACTTAGCAATTCCTGGGATCCCACCATTGGTGGTGGAGTCCAGTCTGTCGCAATTTACCTAGCTCTGGGCATGTGCTCACACATGATCTCTCTCTCCTCTGTCCTCTGTCTTCTCCCCTTCTCTCCCCTCCACCTCTATTTCTTCCTCTTCCTCCTCCTCTACTTCCCTCGTCTCATCTCCTCTTCCATCACCATCTCCTTGGTTCTCCCCTTTGTCCTCCATCTCCACCTCTCCCTCCTTCCCCCTAGATAATTTACTCTCGGAAGATATTCAAGCTTGAAAGACACAGGCGCATTATGAGCTCCCAGTCTATGCTGCTGCATGGGGGATGCCTTGCTTCCTTCTTCCCCCGATGCCAGCCTGCAAGACCTCACTCAAACAAAACCCCCTCGAGGTGCCTTTTTTTGCATGGGCACTTGGGAATGAGCTCTTCTACACTCACTTCTCTCCAGTGGGACTCGTTGTGTGTCATGTTGTGGTGGAGAAAAAAATATACACCCATGTTTGATTTCTTCATTATTCTCAGTGGGCTACCTCATACATTGGATTTGACACATAGATGGATCATTTTTAATTCCCTTCTGTTCATAATATAAAAATACTTGCAGTATTATTTTTACTAAAGTAGTAATTATTTTCTCAACTCATTCTTTAGTTTTAAAGAAATGGGTAGGTTTTTTTTAAAAAGAAGATTAAATTTTAACTTTAAGATATTTAAATATGGTAAGTATTCTGTTGTGAGCTCAAATTTTTACTTGCCAAACAAATTCTTAAACTTTATGGTTCACAATCTGTTTAATTCGTAAATTTTAAACACAAACAAAAAAAAATCTTAGTGGATGAGTGTCATGTAAGGAAACAGAATTGAAGTAATCAAATCCTGTAGCTTCATCTTTACAATCTCTACCCTGTCATTTTTATTTTTAGTTTCCTGTTGGAATGTGGGGGTGGGTATTAAGAACGTGGAAGGTTGGAGATGCAAAACGTGCCTGCAAGAGACAGAAGGATTCTGAGCTTCTGCACACTCACACAAAGCACAATCATTTGCTTCCCAGCTCCAAAGTTACATAAGCAGAATGTGCACAAGGGCGGGCGTGCAGAGCATGCGTGGAGGTTTGGGACAACCTCAGGTGTTTGTCCTCAGCGCTCTATCTTACGTGAGACAGGATGGCATTGTTTTTCACCATTGCCTATACCATGTTAATTAACTCTGGAGAGTCTTCTGTCGCTCCCTCCCATCCCTCTGTAGGAGTGTTGAGATTACAGATGTGTGCCACCCTGTCTGGCTTTATATGGAGATCTGAACTTAGTCCTCATGGCTTGTGTGACAAGCACTTTACCCACTGAGCCTGAAGCTGATTGCTGACCTTAGCATTGTGGGTCCCATGCTGCATTGTTCTGGGACCCCTGCCCCCAGCCCTGCCCTGTGCACAACAGGATGGTTGTGGCACGCCTGGCCTCTGTCTGCTAGAAGCTGAAGAAATACTCTCTTCATGGTGTACAATGAAAAATGCTTCTGGATACTGTTGGATGTTCCCAGGAGGGCAAAGTCACCCCCCATGGAGAGCCATTTGCTGGAGAGCTCCATCATGGGATGCTGGTGGACCTGAAGTTTTCCCAGAAGGATATTATACCAGGCCATGTTGACAGATGAGCTTGCATTCTGCAGAGAAAATTCTGCTTTCCTGGGACCAGAGGCCTCTTGACTCTCGCCCTCTGTCCTGAGGTCACCCACTGCTAATCAGCACTACTTCCCTCAGCTTTTGGATAAACCTGCACCCAAACAAACAGTGGAATGAGGAGACCATTGAGAAAAACTCAGATAGTGCCAAGACGTGGGAGGTTGGGCGGGGTAGAGGCCAAACCTACTCGGTATGGATTACTTCCAAGTCCCAAGTTTCAATGGCAATAGCGGTCTGCACCTGACAGTAGGATGGATGAATGAAGTCTGTGTAGTTACACAACGGCACCAGCAAAGAGAGCGAATGAACTTATAACCACGTGGAAGTGTTTAGATGGGCCTCAACTCTAAATGGAAGAACGCTGGCTCGAGGGATTTCTCACGAAGGAGAAAGTTCCCAAAGGGCAATGTGGCATGTTAAGGCTTAAGAGGTTCTCAAGGGAGGCTTTGGGGGTGTGAGCTCAGTTTGCAGGCATTCTTTGAGGTCTGATGATATCGGCTCTTTCTTCCCTCCCTCCTTCTGCCATCCCTCCCTTTGTGAAATAGGGTCTCACTCTGTAGCTCAAGTTGGCCTCAAACTCACAACAGCGCTCCTGCTTTGGCTTCCCCAGGGCTGCTGCTCCAGGTATGATGCCCTGCTATATATTTTTCTCTATATATTTTATTACATAAATATACACTATACATATTAGTAAAAACTAATACAATGTTCTTGGCCAAGAGGCAGAGAAAGCCTGACCCATTGTGAACGCAGGGACTAAAGATCGGCATATTGATCAGGAGGGGCCTTCCTGGCCACGTGTGATTTTTGTACTTCAAATTCTTTCCCCTCCTCTGCCATCCCTCTCCACGTACAGACTTGGCTTTAGGGTGTGGATTAAAGAGCACCTCCTCCGTAAAATTCTGTCAGTTTCATCCACTGTAGGTTAGACCTGAGCTAAATCTGCTCTGCTCGTTTCTGACTATACCCTGGCCTCCATTACGTCTGCGACACACTGTAGTTATAAAACGATCTGAGTAATTGTCACACGTCTTTCTGAGCGGATTATGTTTCTCCCTGGCTCTCCATCAAGTTACACGTTTCCCAATAGTCAGCAAATCTCAGAAAATGTTGTTAGCTGAATAGGTGGATGGTTAACGCTCCTTTCTTTCTCTCAGCTAACTTCTGTCTCCAAATCATTTTATGTAGGTTTCCATCTTATACAGAAAATTCTGCCTGAAAAGTGGGAAAGGCATTGTTCCTGTTTTGGTCCCTAGTCTTACCCTGCCCCCTCTCTCCAAAGAGGAACCAAGAGATTGATAAAACTATCAGTGCATTTTATAACTCTCTACTGTTTTCACAAGAACTTAGCCGGCCTCACATCTTCGGACTGATTCTCTGGTGGGCAATGTTGTGTGTTCTGTGGGGCCATATTTATTCTCCCTTTTGACAGATGTGGTAAACAGCAAGAAAGTTACCTCCAGTGCTGTTGCTACAAGCTGATCTAACGTACTTAGACTTTAATATTTTCATTCAAGTATAGAAGTCAATAAAAATACAAAACAAAAAATCATCAGGATTTTTACTTGAATGGATCTAAATTATGATGTGAGGGATGTTTTTAGGCAGGGCACTAAGAATAAGATGATCTAAGCAAAATGCTAACATTATATGTAGCACACAAAATGATTAGTAGGTGAAAGTAATAATATGGAATTAATAACTCATGTATGCTATGAAATAATAAGTTCAAAAGAACAGCCATTTTTCATAAGGGCTTTCTGGAATTTTCAGGTACACACCTTATCAGAAAGTTATTGATTCTCAAATTTTTGAACTCCTTTCAAGCACAGGATTTTTTTAAAAGATGAGTGTGTGTGTGTGTGTTTGTGTGTGTGTGTACTCATGTGCACGTGTGGTTAGTTTTGCCAACTTGACACAGGCTAGAGTCATTTTGGAAGAGGGAACTGAAGATGAGAAATTGCCACCACCAGATCGACCTGTGGGCCAACCTTTGGTGCATTTTCCTGATTGATGATTGTGTGGGAGAGCCCAGTTCACTGTGGGTGGTGCCTCTCCTGGGCTAGTGGTCCTTGATGCTAAAGCAGGCTCAGTAACCCAGGAGGAGCATAGCCATGAAGCCCTGTTCTTCCCAAGTCTCAGCTTCAGTTCCTGCTTCCAGGATCCTGCTCTGTGACTTCCCTTGATGACTGGGACATGTAAGCCGGGATAAACGCTCTCCTCCACAAGTTTCATTTGGTCGTGGTGCTTATCACAGCAACAGAAACCTAACTAAGACGGTATTCCACGTAAGTGCCAGCGCCTGTGGAAGCTGGAAGAATGTCAGATCCCCTGGAGTTGCAGGGAACTGTGAATGAGCTACTTGGTATGGATGCTGGGAGCTGAACGCGGGTCCTCTGCAAGAGCAGCCAGCGCTCTTAACCCGAGCCATCTCTCCAGCCCCCAGCATAGCCTTTGAGGAAAGAAAAGTCCAACACTCCGGTGGATGTAGAGGTTCAAGTCCGTGACCTCAGTGCTCAGGAGGACCTCAAGGTTGGGCCAGCTTGGGCTACTGTGGTGTTTTGAAAGAAAACGGCCCCCAAAGGGAGTGGCACTATTAGGAGGTGTGGCCTTGTCGGAGGAAGTGTGGTCTTATTGGAGGAAGTGTGTCACTGAGAGGGCATGTTTTAAGATCTTTTTCTCAGGCTTCATTCAGTGTGGCAGTTAGTGTGACTTCCTGTTGCCTGTAAGATGTAGCACACTCAGCTCCAGCACCACGTCTGCCTGCACACCGCCATGCTCCCCTTCATGATCATAAGAGACTGGACCTCTGAAACTGTAAGCGAGCCACCCTCAAATAAAGGTTTTCTTTATTTGAGGGTGGCCCCCTCAAATAAAGAGTTGCTGTGGTCATGGTGTCTTTTCACAACAATAGTAAACCTTAGCTAAGACAGCTGCGTAGACCCTGTCTCCAAAGCCAGCCAGCCATCCTTCCTGTCTAATTTGGTCAAATTATTCAGTTATTTCAATTTCATCATTTCCTGATCTAACACACCATTCAGCTAGGAACCTGACTCCCGTTGCGAAAAAAAAAAAAAAAAACCATATAAGAGTATCCTTGGCCATTAGTTAAGTTTACGAAGTGACAGACTGAACAGGTAGACTGCTGGTGGCTCTTTAGCCCAGGAAAAAAGCTTTGTTAGAACACGAAAGACTAGGAAACATGCAATGACATCTCTACTTCAGATTGGACTAGAAACAGGACTCGGAATCGTGTCCCCCTCTTCGGAGACAGCAAGGCGGCCTCACAACTCCAGTAAGGTGGAACATTTGATTGCTCGCCACACTCCAAAATGGCTAATCTGAATCCAAATGAACCCTTAGGAAGATCCCAAGTCTTTCAGGTCATTGTCTGCTGTGGGAATCTCCCAGTGTCCACATCACCCTGCAAGAGATGGCACTGCTAGTTGCAAGGGCTTTTTTTTTTTTTTCAAATCTTTAATTTTTTTAAACAACATTTTCTCTCCAAGCAGCTTTTTGGAAATCCAGTCCCTCTTACAAAGAGCTAGCTGCACAGAGCTGGGTGCCTTCAGTGCCAACCACAGAACCCCTTCGCGTGCTCTGAAGCAAATTCCATCCCCCACCGTCAATCTCTGCAACACATTCAAGAAAGAGGAATCTAGAGAAAAGATAAATTCCTACCTGTCCCCAAGCCTTGTCCGCAGGCACTTGACTGGATAAAGATGCATAAAACCAGGAAGATGGGAGCATGGAGGGGACTTCCCATGTCTCTTGTCTCACCCTGGGGTCTGAGGTCTTCTTGCTAATGTCTAGAACTAAAGAGATCAAACTGGTTCTTAGTACTCAGTTAGGGAAGGCCCCCATTAATTATTAACCTTAAAACATATTACCTAGTGTTTGGACTCTTTCTTTGCCTCCCTCAGTCCAAATCTAACAATATCTAGTACCAAAAAGATTGACCGACTGAAACACTTTTTATTTTGATAAATTTTGTCAATAAAACACCTCGCCAGGTCTTTTTTCCTTTTGAGCCGAGCTCATAGTTCAGAATCAATTGAGACTTAGTGTGCTGTGTTTGGAAGTTTTATTAAAGGTGGGGTAGGTAACCTCTGCATCCTTGGTCGTGTTTCACTCTAAAGCCCCTTCGTGGTGTCACGAACGTCACTTTTCAAGTAACAGACTGACACCAAAGAGAGAGAAGAGCCCGCATCTCCAGGGACTCTGCTTCCTGTTGAGGTCAGTCAAATTTCAGGCGCCTGCAATGTAAGTGTAGCGGGGCAGCAATTCTGTGGCTGAAAGGGGGGCTGAAAACTGGTGCTCTCAGGTTAAGAAGGAACTGAGTGAGAAGCAAAGATCAGAGTCTTGCTGGGAGCCCTGTTGAGAGATACCCTGGGATAAACTCACTCACTGGGTTAATTAGTGTTCAGTTTAATGCTGAAGGCTATGAAGCAAGGTCATTCAGCCAAAGCAAGTGGGGAAGATGTCACGATGTGCAACTCTTGCAAGATTTCTTGGCTCTCTGGTGCTGTTTATATTTTATTTATTTTGTATGTGCACACTGAACAAATAAAGGCTGTATATTGAACACCACTGTGTCCTGGGCTCTGTTCTTGGCTTTTGAGAGAGTTAAGTGAATAAAACAGATAAGCTCTCCAGCCCTTGTGGGATTTATGTACCATGGGGTGAGAAGAATTATGTATGAAAAGCAGATGTAATAAAGCAGAGATACATGTATGAGAACCATGAGGCTGGGAACATAGCTCAGTTAGCAGAGTGTTTGGCTGAATCCCTAATGCAGCAGGTATGGTGGCACATGCCTATAACCCCAGCACTTGAGAGGTGGAGGCAGGGTATCAAGAATTCAAGGTCATTTCTGGCTATACAGTGAGTTCAAATTCAGCCTTTGCTAGATGGCATCTTGTCTCAAAAACTAAAGTAAAAAGAAATAAATGACAGGGATAACGAAGAAGGCAGTGACTTTAAATAGAGTGGTCAGAATGAGTCGTACTCAGAGATTGAACTGGAGACAAAGGATTGAGGGACTTGAAGGGGTCGTTCTGTGGGGGAAAAGGAGTTTGGTAGAGTTAGGGCAATGGTCCTGAGGTTGGAACATGTTTAGTGTGTTCTAAGAATACAAAGATGGATAGTGAACACAGAGACTCATCATAGATCCATGGCTTTTACATAAAGACTCATAAAGACATAAGCAGCCAAAGAATAAGTAACATCCACCATCGGTGGTGTTTGCAGGTGAGCAAGGGTGAAGAGGTAAGCCCATTGAAGAAGGCGCTGTGACTGAGCCCGCTGGCAAGGCATTGCAATTGAACCCATTGAAGAAGGCATTGCAATTGAGCCCATTGAAGAAGGCATTGCAATTGAGCCCATTGAAGAAGGCACTGCAATTGAGCCCATTGAAGAAGGCATTGCAATTGAGCCCATTGGCAAGGCATTGCAATTGAGCCCATTGAGGAAGGCATTGCAATTGAGCTCATTGAAGAAGGCACTGCAATTGAGCCCATTGAGGAAGGCAGTGCCACTGAGTCCCAAGCTTTGACTGGTTCAGTGCAGCAATGGGACTGGATTGCTTTTGGAAGTGGAGCTAGTAGATTACTTGAATTTCTGGGAGTGGGGAGGTGGGGAAAGAGTGAAGAATGACCCAAGGCTTTTGGTTGAAGCAGATAGATTAATGGGACTACCACCAACTGAGACAGGGGGAGCTATGAGGGGAATGGGTCTGGTGTGTGTGTGTGGGGGTGATGAACAATTCAGATTTTGTGGAGTCTGAGTTGGCCCTTAGACACCCCCAGTAAACTGTAGAAATGACTAACATGCAGTTAGATTAAGTGTCAAGTGTTGTCTGCCAATGACTGACTTTAAAGCTCTCGGAAGGGGCTGGGGAGACAGTGGCGGAACTGTTTGCTGTGCAGACATGAGGACCTGAATTTGGTCCCCTGACTCCACATTAGTTAAAAAAAAATCCAGACATGAATATGTTCTTGTAGCCCCTCCCCCCATCCACGATGCTGGGGAGGCAGAGCCAGGTGGATCCCTGGGGCTTGTTGGGTAGCGAGTCTCGCATAATTAGAAACTGTAGGTCCCAATGAGAGACTCTTTGTCTGATGAGGGGTTGGTGAAGATCTTCTCCCAGTCAGAAGGCAGCCTTTTTGTCCTACTGACAGTGTCCTTTGCTTTACAGAAGCTTCCCAGTTTCAGTAGATCCCATTTATTCATTGTTTCTCTTATTGTCTGTGCTGCTGGGGTCCTACTTAGGAAGAGGCCTCCTGTGCCTAAATCTTGTAGACTACTTCCCACTTTCTCTTCTATCAGGTTCAAAGTGGACGGATTAATGTTGATGTCTTTAATCCATTTGGACTTGATTTTTGTGCATGGTGATAGATATGGATCTACTTTCATTTTTTTACAGGTTGACATCCAGTTATGCCAGCACCATTTGTTAAAGATGCTTTCCTTCTTCCATTGTATACCTTTAGCTCCCTTGTCGAAAATTAGGTGTTCATAAGTTTGTGGGTTAATATCTGGGTCTTCTATTCGATTCCATAGGTCGACTTCTCTGTTCTTATGCCAATACCAAGCTGTTTTCAATACTGTAGCTCTATAATAGAGTTTGAAGTCAGGGATGGTAATGCCTCCAGAAGTTCTTTTATTGTATAAGATTGTTTTGGCTATCCTGGGTTTTTTGTTTTGCCATATAAACTTGATTATTGTTCTCTCAAGGTCTGTGAAGAAGTTTGATGGGATTTTGATGGGGATTGCATTGAATCTATAGAGTGTTTGAGGAAGACACCTGACGCCGACATTTGCTTCCCGCATGCAGGCGTACTGTGTGTAGCTATGAACAGTCTTTATGCCAACCCAAACCTGTGTGCTCTGTGGCTGTGCTTCCTCCCTGAAACACGGGACCCATCACCAGTAAGACGCGACGTGACTCCTGATTCCTGAAACGGCTGGGGTTCTGGATTTTGGGTCTGTCTTCTTCCTGTTTTGCACGGTTAAGCAGGATCTGAAATTTTCACTTTTTTTGTACTAAGAGTTCAGCCCCTAAAACCATTTGACCAGCCACCTTGGGTCCCTTTCCCACTAACTTGCTCTCCTCTCTTCTTTTCTGGATATTCAGCAACAACTCCCAACCCCCACCTCACTCTGCAGGTGAATTTACCAAATTCAGTGAGTTTGCCAGCCTGTCTCTATTCTCCACCAGAACATTTTTTTCTATGAAAAAAAAGAAAGAAAGAAAAGAAAAGAAAAAAGAAAGAGAAGAAAAAAGAAACACCACTTCCCACAGGGGAAGAAACCTCCAAAGCTGTCGCTCCTTTAGCTCTGTCACTTGCTCCACCCCAGGTTTCTCCTCTCTCCATCTCATGCTCTATTAAGTGTCCTCTCCTAGCAGGCAAGAAGACCATAGTCTAATGAGCACCAGGCTTCTAGAGCCTTCCTGGCTCTGCCACCTGCTATCTGTGCAGAATGCTAAATAACATTGGTGGCATCTATTATCTTATCTGTAAAGTGGGAATAGCATGGCCTGAGATAATATTTTAAGATTCCCACGTACTTTCCCCCTGACTTGTCCCTTCTCCCCTTTTCCCTGCTTAAGAGCGATAAAGAAATGTAAGACTACATGGTACGTGTCTTTCAAGGCAGGGGTGCTCTAATCAACCAAGACTAGCAAAGGGCTTAACTTATTTTTTTAATTGCTTGAATTCCATACATAAAATTATATACATATAATGTATATATAATACACACAGTGCATTTTAATCAATACACCCCCTTTTCCTCCCCTTCAATTTCTTCCACACCCCTACAACCACCATGAATTCCCAACTTCTTGTACTCTTTCTAAAAAAACCCACGGAGTCTATTTAGTGCAGTGATAGATGAACAGATGTTAGACATTCTACCTGAGTACAGGGGTCCTCTTGGGACTGCATCCCTAAAGAAAACTGACTCTCCCTCCCTCCTCCACAACCATAAATTGCAAAAAAAACTCTATAAATGTTACTGACTACGGCCATTGCTTTCTATCGGTTACCCTCCAGAACTTGACAGTAAGATCCCATTATTGAAGACACCACACGCTTGAGTTATAGGACATGGAAGAATCAAGTTGGGCTAAAATGTTTTAAAGAGACACGAAGGGAGAAAGATCTTCCACCTCCCCACCACTGGAAAGTCAGTCGCCCAAACTTAGAGGTCTTGGGGATGGGAGACTTGCCCCTGGAGTCGAGAGCGGAGGGGATTATGAACCCTTGCTTTGTAGAAACCTTGGGAGGACGACCCCAGACGGAAAACATTCTGTATGTGCTAGCAGATACTAGATGGGCACTCCTGGCCTGGCGTTGGACCAGGTTGAGCCTTCCAAGTCAATAAATGAAGATGATAACAGAACAGACAGACAGATACCCAGTGTCTATCTATCTGAGCAAATTATGGAGGACCAGGTGCTTTCTCCTAAACTGATACCTGAGTGCTGAGTCTGTCCCAGCACTATGGTATAGCTGGGGGTGGGACAGAGAGAAAGGATCTGCGGTAGCCTAAACACAAGCATTTGGAGTCACGGATTCAGAGGAGCTATAGAAAACTGCTGTGGGATGCCCTCCTCACCTACTCTCTACCATGTGTTTACTGAATTTTAGACAGGGTCTCCCATTTAACCTGGAGCTCATGGACTTAGCAAGGCTGGATGGCCATTGAGCTCCAGGAAATTGCTTCCCTACCTCCCTACTGCTGGAATTACAGGCATATGCATTTTTTTTTGCATGGGTGCTGGAGATCTGAACTCAGGTTCTCATGATTGAACAGCCACATCTTAATGATTGGACCGCCTCTCTGACCCCTATTCCTTCTGAAATTGTTTTAAATTCACCCAGAGGATCAAGAGTAAAAATGTCATATCTCTTCAAAATAAACACATCAGAGACAGGAAAGCAGTGGCTCCACCATCCAATGCTCCCACAGCCACAGCAGCTGAAGGAACAAGTTGCAGTCTCATCCCAAGGACAATGGATTCGACTTCTCCAGAACTGGAGCAGGAATCATTGCCTCAGAGAGAGCTGCTCGGATGTCTAGAGGAGCCAACGGACCCTTGGAGTTCTCTTTGTACCACATCAGGAAATTTATTTTGTGTGTGCTTCTAGTGTTCTAGGGCGCATAAGCAAATAAATGTCCACCTGCTGGGGGTGTTCAAAATCACTTATGAAGATAGTTAAAAGAGGGTGCTGTATCCGTGTTAGAAAGATAGAACTGCTCCTACTTCAGGGCCTGACTATACTGTCTTAGACACCTTCAATGTATCCCAGCAGTCAATAGATCCATTCAGTCTTTTTCATGCTCAGAAGAAGACTTTCTTCCTTCCTTCCTTCCTTCCTTCCTTCCTTCCTTCCTTCCTTCCTTCCTTCCTTCCTTCCTTCCTTCCCTCCCTCCCTCCCTCCCTCCCTCCCTCCCTCCCTCCCTCCTTCCTTCCTTCCTTCCTTCC